GGGGAGGTGGACTGTTGCTCAGCAGGTAAGAGATTTGAGAATATAATGACGCCATTTAGCTGGTCATGTCAGGTATATGATGGTTAAGTGTTCTAGTTTCGGTCGTTATGTGAAATTTGTCATCTTGCTTCATTAATCCAAGCAAGTTAGACGTAAATGGGTGCACATTAACTGGCCATGTCGCCATTTTTTTGTACGTTATGTTTCATCGATATTGTTCTAAATAATCTCTTTTACAGCTCAACTTCCATCCACACCAAAGATGCTTACACTCGATAGAAGGAACTCAAAGCAGAGCATTTCCACAGTGACGCTCAATCTCGATTCTGAAACCGGAAGTAGGTATTTTCAACTTCCGGTTGAAGATGATGAATATCCGCTCAATGTACCTAACATGCGACCAAAAAAGAGATACGTGGGCCCATGGAAACATCCCGGAACTCTGGTGGATAAAGACCAAACGTATTTCAATATGGCTTTATCAGGAACGAAATATCTCGATAAGGGCAAAAGGAAAGGAGACGAAATGACTCAGTCTGAAACAACAAACCAGAACAAAGAAAATAAGGAAATCCAAAATGGCGGCTTTGGAATAGACGTACCCCAGTTTAAGCATCCCTTACCACCAATTTCAGTCAAGGACATGGAAAATCATTCATTGTTGCCCTACGGTTTTGGATTCAATCAAAATCGTTCAGACACTTTCATGGGAATTCAAATCAGAAGAAACAAATTAAAATCATTGGATGATCAAATTGCTTCCCAAGCCAGGCGCCATATTTTTGCTTGTAGTAATGTAGGGTCTGTTCGAAATGCGTGCCGAGCAAATCAAAGTGTTGTCGCTCTTAAACAAACACTAGAAGCAACGAAAACTAACGGACACCAGAACAAACAGAGTTCTACACCGGTAAGGTTTTCGAACACACCCGCATCCTCATGTCGTGCTTTAACAAGAGGAGAAAAGACTCGACCTTTGAACGCTGAGAGAACCGGATTAGCCATGCCAGAAATCAATGGTTATTCCATTTTAAAATAAAATGTGACTCTTATCTCTTACATTTTATGGATGGGGACATGCTTCAAAAGCAACACTCTAAAGGGACAGATTCGCCACTAACAGGATTTTTTTTCCATGCTAAGGTAATCAGTAAAAGTGTTCACAGTTCACCATCGAAATGTGAGCCTTCAAATACCTTTGTGACCAGAATTATCCGTGTTAAAATTTTAAAATGACGAGCCGTCTTTCTTGAGACTCCGCCATGTATATAAAAGCCACATTTTTAGAAATAGAAAGAGAAATTTCTAGTTTGAGGTACTGAGGGATGGTATGATTTTCGTGCAGTTATACTACTATATACTTCTGAAGACTATTTACACATATTCAAGACCCAAATCTACTCCCACCCTATAACAAGGCGAACCATGACCTTTAAAGAAATACAGTGACCAATGATTAGACATAAAGGCTCAACGACCTGGGAGAGAAGTGACCAAAGCACTCAGTAGAAATGGACAAAGGAAATGTTAAACACTCGAAGAGAAACTTGAATAAATACATGCTCTGAACCACTTTTGTCTTTATCTTCACTAATTTAATTTGAGACTGAAACAGCTGCCTCTATTGTGGTATTTTTCTATATCGCTCTACAATTGATGTATTGTAGTATGCAGTCTTGGTCAGTAATGATACAGATATTGTTTGGCTGTAGTTTGTAGTATCAATATCTGTATCATTACTAACCATTACTTCAAACTACAGTCATACAATATCCATATCAGTATCATTCCTAACCATTACTACATACTACAGTCAAACACTATCAATATCTGTATTATTACTTACCTCTACTACATACTACACAAACACTATCAATATCTGTATTATTACTAACCATTACCACATACTACAGTCAAACACTATCAATATCTGTATTATTACTTACCTCTACTACATACTACAGTCAAACACTATCAATATCTGTATCATTACTAACCTCTACTACATACTACAGTCAAACACTATCAATATCTGTATTATTACTAACCATTACTACATACTACAGTCAAACACTATCAATATCTGTATTATTACTTACCTCTACTACATACTACAGTCAAACACTATCAATATCTGTATCATTACTTACCTCTACTACATACTACAGTCAAACACTATCAATATCTGTATTATTACTTACCTCTACTACATACTACAGTCAAACACTATCAATATCTGTATCATTACTTACCTCTACTACATACTATAGTCAAACACTATCAATATCTGTATTATTACTTACCTCTACTACATACTACAGTCAAACACTATCAATATCTGTATCATTACTAACCTCTACTACATACTACAGTCAAACACTATCAATATCTGTATTATTACTAACCATTACTACATACTACAGTCAAACACTATCAATATCTGTATTATTACTTACCTCTACTACATACTACAGTCATACAATATCAATATCTGTATTATTACTAACCATTACCACATACTACAGTCAAACACTATCAATATCTGTATTATTACTTACCTCTACTACATACTACAGTCATACAATATCAATATCTGTATCATTACTAACCTCTACTACATACTACAGTCATACAATATCAATATCTGTATTATTACTAACCATTACTACATACTACAGTCAAACACTATCAATATCTGACGTCTGGAAACAAACAATTCAGTTAGCTCAAAAGAGTGAGTCAGTCGAGTCTAAGATAGTGTTTCAGGCAATGTAACATTTGTCAGCTTTGTTTAAATTAAATTTCGAAAAACAAAAGCAATAACTCATATTTGATATTTCCCGTTTTTTTGAATAAGGTTCACCCTTGGGCGATGTTAAACATTTGGCAAACCTGCATCCATCACCAGTTCATTATATTCAACCCATAGCCATACACTTCTTTCAAACGTTTTTTTTTTGGTTTTGTATACTGCTCTTCTCTAAGTGAAACAGAAAGGTAGGACGTAAACTCCATGAAAATTAATAATTCCGTACAAATCTGCCCGGAACTGTAAGAGTGCGTTCAAATAGAACGCTTTTCAAAAAACAAGGGAAAAAACTAATTACATATTTTTCAACCCTTTTAATGAGGTTCCTAAATGATTTTTATGAAGTTTTATGTAAATTTATGTAAATTTATCAATAATTGTGCCTATATTGTGATAGAGTCCATCGTTTGTTGATAATAAACAATTTCACAAAGTTTCGTTCAAATCGTTATGTGTTACGCCTTCTCGAGTATTTACAAGCTACAGATTTTCATTCATAATAATCACTCGTATGATAATATACTAATCAAATAAGCAATTCGCTCACATCATATCCTTCACAAGGGATATTAAAATGCTTATTTTAGTGTGCTAACAATGTGAAATGTGCACAATATTTATGTTTTTGAAACCTAAAAAGTATGATTTTTTTAAATATTAAAAAAAATTGGATGAAATACATCAAATAAAAAAAAACGTGGTAAAATTGGTCTAATTTAACAAGTTACCATGCCTTGGTATGTAGCTGTAAGGGTAGTTATGACTATTTACCACGCTTACAACGCCAATGGTAAATAGCCACTGCCATTTAGTAGTGCTGGGTATCGTCAATCATGCAACGATACGATACGATCGCGATACAAGGGTCACGATACGATACATATCGCGATGTGGAGTAATGGGATAAAAATCAACATTTTTTCTTCAAAGTTAATATTAATTCATAACATTATAACTGTGATATTTGGTAATATAGTTGATAGAAGTGGTTAGGGTCCACTATCTTATAAAAAGTTTCTAACAATTTTTAGTAACTTATAGAAATCCCAATTTTTTTATCGCCAAGTATCGATACACAATGTTGCGATACGATACGCGTATCGTGGCATGTCGTATTACGATACATCGATTCACCGATATATCGTGCCAGCACTAATATTTAAATCGCAACATTACTATCACTGGACAAATAAATGTGAATTGTCGGAAATAAAGACCCTTGCACAAGAAGTCACAACGAAATTAATCATTCATTACTGAGACAGATTCAACTTACGGAAACTGCCGAGGATTGCCGAAGTACCTGTACGTAGACAAAGAAAGACTGGATGATATAGGCAACCATTCATTCCTTAACCAGATTCAGCTTTATATTTATTGATTGTAATATTTTTTGAATTTTAATTGTGTGTTGAACTGTTATGGAATTTTATGCACACATGTTGACAGTACTATACATATATAGAGATTGTAACCGAGATCTTACAATCTTCTTGAACACAAATATTGAGTGTCTATGTAGAACCTTTTGCTCTACGTACCGTACTTTATTTTTATGCAAATGACAAACAAAATATCAGAAAACCTAAACGAAATTGAAATATAGGTTCTACTGGCTGTTACGTTAACGTATGGACTTTTTTCATCATTTGGTTATTAGAGTATAGCAGGGAAGAAGCAGCTTTATTCTGCTGGAGCTTATCTACTGGATGGCACTTGACCAACTTTGACCAACAGATCCGGTCTATCAGTTAGTCCTTCGTGTATTATGAGATCAAACTTCAATATTTAACAAGGATATCGACTTCGGGTCCTGAGGATCGTTTCTAACTTCCAATACGTGTGATATTATAGCAGGTTTTATTCTGCAGGATCCTTGAACAACTGATAGCATCAATTTGCACCATTCCACTTTTCAATCAGTCGTCTGTGGTTCCTGTAATTCCTGCAATCCCCGATACAGATACAAAATTAAAAAAAACTCTTTACAATCCCTTTAAGCTGAACTAAAATAATATGGATAAGAGAGATATCCGTACAGTTGATGTCGACGAAGTTTTGATATCGTTGGGTGGTGTTGGGCGATATCAAATTATCAACTATGTAGCTGCTTCTTTAACTTGGTTCTCAGAAGCTTATCAAGTCATGGCCATCATTTTCATTGGTAAGTGTCAAATCAATACTTTTACCGTGGTAAGTATCAAGGCTTCATCATGGCAAGTGGCCAACGTTTTCCTTGTTGGTAAGAATCAATGCGCCATCGTGGCAGGTGGCTATCGACTTCATTGGTAAGTATCAATGCTTTATTGTGGCAAGTGGCCATCGTCTTCGTTGATAAATATCAATGGTTCATCGTGGCAAGTGGCCATCGTCTTCATTGGTAAGTATCAATGGTTCATCGTGGCAAGTGACCATCCTCTTCATTGGTAAGTATCATTGCTTCATCGTGGCAAGTGGCCATCGTTTTCGTTGGCAAGTACCAGTGGTTCATCGTTTCGAGTTACCATCGTGTTCAATGTCTAATCGTTGTAAGTGGCAATATTGTTACTTGGTAAGTATCAATGCTTCATCATGACAAGTGACCGTCGTCTTCTTCGGTGGTAAGTATCAAAACAATTATTTTATCGCAATAATATTATTGTGAAAGTGGCCAGCTTGTTCATTTGTAAGTATTAATGCTTCATCGTAGCAAGTAACCATCTGGTTTTTGATAAAGTATCGATTTTTTTCGTTGTAATGGCCATTGTGTTCATTGGATGGGTAAATTGTTCTTTTGTATGAATGTGTCATACATATTTTCACTTTAGGTTTGATTGCCCTGACCACGTATTGCCCATTGCCACTCGGTCGATTTTGTGTGATATTTTCTGGATCCATTTATTTTCAGCCCAGGCCAATGAATGTGTCTGCTCACCAACATTAAATAGCGCGATGCTAACGAACCAAACAAATTTTAAAAACTACGCAGCAGATTTTGAATATAATCAAACCTAAATTGATTACAACCAAACTCATTTTGAATACGGTAGATGTACCATAAAATACTTGTATAATGCAACTTTCGAATATAACACTTCATCCTGTATCCATGGTTACGAATAGGCCAAACCTAAAGATTTTTCGCTCGTTTCCGATGTAAGTTTATTCCCATCTTTAAGCCTGTTCTGTGTTTCTTTTTCGTGTGATAAATTGTGGTAAATTACAATCAGGGAAAAAGCTCGTCAAAGTGAATCCTGAACACTGATAGCATCAATTTGCACCATTCCAATTTTATCAGACGTCTGTGGTAAGTAGTATAAGAGTATCAAAAAAATGACGTTAGGAAAAAAGTGATTTCTTTTTAAATTATATAAAGTGCCCCCTATCTATATACTCTTATACTACTGTGGTACCTGCAATGCCACTAAAAACTTAATGTTTTATAACGCCACTAATCGCTAAGTCCTTGTGTGATAAAGCATATTTTGAGATTAGTGACGTCACTTATTTTTAGTGCTAGAATTGCTAGAAGCACACACGTGTGATTGAAAATTGGAATGGTGTATAAATTTTAGAAAACTTCTTTACAATTCTTTTAACATTTTAATTACTTGGCATCATTATTAATTATGCCGTACTGTATTTGCCAAAACCCTGTGTTAATATCTAGAATTAAGAAAGTGTCTACCTATACTGACAGTTATATTTTTGATGAAGTTTCTTATAATCAGCAAATCACATCTAGGATACATTTCAAAAACAAATAAAGTCTACACAAAGACTCATTTTTTCTTTTGGCTTTTATACAATCACCATTGGGATAGCGTATGGCTTGCTTCTAATAGGAAAAACTAGTGTTGAATATAAACTGCGTCTTATACCTTGACTGCAATAGCCATCTTTCTTGTGTTATGGAAATATAGTACAATAATTTTATTTTCTATCTACCTTCGTGCCTTGTTATTTTGGTTGTGAGCTATTACCTATCTATCTTCGTTCCTTGTTATTTTTGTTGTGAGGTATTGCCTATATACCTTCGTGCCTTGTTATTTTGGTTGTGAGCTATTACCTATCTATCTTCGTTCCTTGTTATTTTTGTTGTGAGGTATTGCCTATATACCTTCGTTCCTTGTTATTTTTGTTGTGAGGTATTGCCTATATACCTTCGTGCCTGTTATTTTTGTTGTGAGGTATTACCTATCTATCTTCGTTCCTTGTTATTTTTGTTGTGAGGTATTGCCTATATACCTTCGTGCCTTGTTATTTTTGTTGTGAGGTATTGCCTATATACCTTCGTGCCTTGTTATTTTTGTTGTAAGCTATTGCCTATCTACCTTCGTGCCTGTTATTATTGTAGTGAGGTATTGCCTATCTATCTTCGTGCCTTGTTATTGTTGTTGTGAGGTATTGCCTATCTACCTTCGTGCCTGTTATTATTGTAGTGAGGTATTGCCTATCTACCTTCGTGCCTTGTTATTTTTGTTGTGAGGTATCGCCTATCTACCTTCGTGCCTGTTATTATTGTAGTGAGGTATTGCCTATCTACCTTCGTGCCTTGTTATTATTGTAGTGAGGTATTGCCTATCTACCTTCGTGCCTGTTATTATTGTAGTGAGGTATTGCCTATCTACCTTCGTGCCTTGTTATTTTTGTTGTGAGGTATCGCCTATCTACCTTCGTGCCTGTTGTTTTTGTTGTGAGGTATTGCCTATCTACCTTCGTGCCTTGTTATTATTGTAGTGAGCTATTTTCTATCTACCTTCGTGCCTTTTTATTTTTGTTGTGAGGTATTACCTATCTACCTTCGTGCCTTGTTATTTTTGTTGTGAGGTATTGCCTATCTACCTTCGTGCCTTGTTATTTTTGTTGTGAGGTATTGCCTATCTACCTTCGTGCCTTGTTATTATTGTTGTGAGGTATTGCCTATCTACCTTCGTGCCTTGTTATTTTTGTTGTGAGGTATTGCCTATCTACCTTCGTGCCTTGTTATTTTTGTTGTGAGGTATTGCCTATCTACCTTCGTGCCTTGTTATTATTGTTGTGAGGTATTACCTATCTACCTTCGTGCCTTGTAATTTTTGTTGTGAGGTATTACCTATCTACCTTCGTGCCTTGTTATTTTTGTTGTGAGGTATTACCTATCTACCTTCGTGCCTTGTTATTATTGTTGTGAGGTATTACCTATCTACCTTCGTGCCTTGTTATTTTTGTTGTGAGGTATTACCTATCTATCTTCGTGCCTCGTTATTTTTGTTGTGAGGTATTAACTATCTACCTTCGTGCCTTGTTATTATTGTTGTGAGCTAAGACAGTTTACGACACTCGTGGTCAAGGCTGAATATAGTCAATATACAATCCATTCATTAACAGTATGTAGAGGATTGGTATTACGAGACACACTATTTTAGCTTTTTGCACACTTCATTTTCTCGATCATTCGCAGATACGCACGTTTCACTCAACTTTATTTTCATAATTTGTTTCAGGCGGCATATATGCCATGGGCTCCTGGAGCCATTTTTGGAACTTGTTGCTTTATTGTAACAGGGTTGATGTTTTTACTACCCGAAAGCGCTGATAGAGAACTTCCACAGAATATGGAAGAGCTGAAGTCAAATTTATACAACAAGATTTAACAGTTAAAGATGCCATGTATTCATTAATAAAATCTCATCAATTCAAAAAGATTTAACCTCGTTCGGCTGGTTGGTGGCGGCCATATTTCTTCAACAAGCATAGCGACTGCTAGCAGTAAAATATGAACATACGGAAGATACACAGGCGTAATTTTTTGTTGATAAGTAATTCAACATTTTATGAAAGTATGATAGCTTTAATCCTTGATTACTGTGTTTTTATTAGCCTAATAAGTCTCGTCGCCACTTTTTTAATACGTAAATAGGATCCCCATTCACTTTGTCCAAATAGCTTCCTAGCCAACGCGGCGTTGAATTTTAAGCATCAAAAACAACATTTTTATACAAAGGACTATGCCCATATTCATATAATAAGGGTTTCGCCCAGGAGTTCAGAATTTACGTATAATTTACAAATTAATTAATAAATAATATAAACGGAAATCAATAGAGTCTTCAAAAATATACAAACAATTGAATATGAATAAGAATTTTATTGTTAAGAGACGAACATACAAGGGAGACAAGACATGAACAATTTCTACCGCCAACCATGCATTTGATTGAGATGGAACTTATACCTTGGTATTCAATGCTTTCATCAGAACTTGGATGGCAAATCTATTTACCCACAGAAAAAAAATGAAACCAAGACCTCAGAATTTTCATTTTATACATGATTATTGTGTTGAGTTTGGATTAACAGTCTAAAAAAACAAATTGAAGTCAACAATTTTAAGAACACTAATACTTCCTCCAATTCATTGAACTGTTGGCATTTATATTTCGAATCACCCTTTGAAAAAGATACCTTTAATTAAAAGACTATAGAAAAGCAACACACTAACAACCCAATAGCTAAAGCCATAAAGCAGTAAAAAATATAAGATATAAAATGAGACAAAATAATAAAAGAATTTGAAATATTTTAACAATTACTCAATAGCACTAACAGGAATCACAGCCTTTCATATTAAAGTAGATACAATCCATACAACTATAATAAAATAATCATTATAGGCCTATTAATGGGATTTAAAGAGGTTTTAAAAACTTTTTAAGTGTATTGAAGACATAGCATCGATTTACACCATTCCAATTTTCAATCAGATGTGTGTTGTTCCTGCAATTCCACTAAAATTAAGCGTTTAATGATGTCACTATCCCAAAGGTTTTTATATACTACAAGCAGATTTTGCTATAATGATGTTACAAAATGCTTAATTATAGTGGAATTTCAGGAACCACAGATGTTTAAAAATTAGGATGGTGCTATCAGTGTCCCCGATAACCTTAAAAGATAAAAAAAACCTCTTTATAATCCCTTTAACAGTACTGGTAGCTCTAAAATAACTTGACATTCTGTTTTATTGTATTATATAGTTCCTAAATTTACTCTTCTGATATCTTTAACATAGTAACCATAAGCAAATAACTGGGAGCTAATTTAAGCACTAGAAGCTGAAGCTAGCCTGCCACAAATTAAACAAGCAGGAAGCCTTGCAATTAAAGCTGATAATAGTTTGAATCAATCGCCTGAAAAATAAAAGAATCAGTTATGCAGATGGACCCAGAACTGAGAATTGAGAATGAGCAAGAATTTTAAATCTTATTAGCTATGTAGACTCTCTAAAAGGGATGCCGAATTGACAAATACAGGTGGAGAATGGAATAAGTTTTCGAGGAATTAGTGGAGTATAGCGTTAAGTTAAGTTATGTGTGAAGAAGTTGTATTTATAGAAGGGAAGTAACTCTAAATAGTCCAATTGCTACAGACAATAGTTAATTTTCTGTCATATGATGTGTTCTCTATTCAGACTACGAGATCATGACAATGACAGCAATTGTCACCTTCCATTTATCATTGAAGTTTCTAAATGCAGCTATCTGATTGGATTATACACTAACAAATACAGCCAATCAACTGCCTTGACAGAAAGACTGTAAACAATTTGACTGAGAGTGTAATGGAGGAAAATAGTTTGTAAAATAGCAGTAAAGCAATTTTTCAAAAACACAGACACAGGCATGTTAGGGTCATGATTAGCCAGTTAAAACTTTGAATGGACAAGAATCAAAACAAGATCAGAAGTTAACCACCTACCACTAATTTCTGCAACAAAATCGTGAGCCACAATCTACATTACAGCACCCACTGGCTGTCTCAGGGAATGGATCATCTGTTAAATTATCACAATAATACAGCTGAGAGTGGTCCAACACAGGGCATATTGAAACCAGTTCATAGATTTTCTCCCCTGAAACGTCCATACAACCAGACAGATTTAGATATCTTAAATTCGGTAGACTTCCCAACTCCACCAGATACCTACAAAGATATAATGAATACTAACTAATGTTGCGTTCAATACCCATCATGATTTCTGCATTCATAAGGTATATAATGTGAATTTTCTGATAAATCTTTTTGCATTGCACGCTAGCAATTACGACAAATCAGAACTCTCAACACAAAATAAGTTCTCTTATTGTGCCTTAAAACTAGGCACAGTCCGGCTATATATTGATCTCTAACAAACGAGATAGATATAAATCTTGAATTATAATCTTGTCAAAAGATGTCATACGATGAAAAAATGCGACTACTGATGTCAAGGTATTAAAAGGCGTTCATAACAGCTTGACAATGAAAAGATGATCCATACCTGATTCCATCAGTTGTAATATTCTGACATCCAGACAGATTCAGATATTCTAAGCCTGGTCTAGTAGTACTGGATGATGTTTCTACCTTATCTACACTATCTGATGACTGGACAGTCAGAGACTTCTCAGTTTTCATTTCTGTATCACTGACAATTAGGTCATAACATATTTCAGTCTGATGAGGAGAGTTATCTCCCTTTACTAATGACACAAGTTGATCGAATTCGTTCTGAAGTTCTTGAAGACCTGTCGATTTATCGTAATTCTCAAATAAACAGTCTTGTAATACGGACACGGCTGCATCGACTGGACAAACAGAACCACCATCAAAATTCACAGAGTCTCCAATGGCCATTTTTCCACACTGATTACAAATTCCACGCTTACTTTGTCTTGAATTAGGGCGGGAATCAGTATTTGTTGCAGACGCACTTTTCCTTGTTCTTTCAAAGTCTTCAATATCACATATGGGATCAATTTGCATCTGAGTAAAGTCTTTAGAATCTTTGGGTATCACTGAAGAAACGTTCGAAGCCGATGGTGAAGAATATTGCAAAGCCTCGGCAAGTTTTTGAAGGGTAAAGTCTGTAATGTTTTTACAACCAGTTAAATCTAAATATCGTAACTTACTACCATACTTTCCTTCTCCAAGCCTGCAACAAAAATAAAATGAAGTTTTTTACACCCCACTGAAGTATGCAATGAGGCAAATTTTGATTGGACAGCAGAATTATCCAACCCTTCTTTTAACTGTCAAGTAATCTTTAATGTCTTGAAATAGAACACTGTTCACTTTACACCTATGTTTTGGAAAATACTTTTCGTTAAATCATGAATATTTTGACCTATCTCGAAGCATAAAAAATCAATGAAGACTGTCGGTACCCTTTTTCTACATTAGGGAGCCCCTACTACCCCCTGTCTAAAGAAAAGTCAAAGAGGTGATACCTTGCTCTGATTTGAGCATAAAAGAAATCTGCAGATCAACAAAGGAGATAACTTACACTTTAAAAGCTGCATCTGTCACTCGGGTCTGTTTTAAATTCAAATATTCTAGGTTAGGACAAAACTTTAATATTTTTTTCACCTGCAAAGAAATAATGACAATTAACAACCTGGACTACTTCAGTCCTCTTCACAAATATAAACCTAAAATGAAACAGATGTCTGACTGAAAATTGGAGTGGTGCAAATTAATAATGGAATCAGTAGTGATCCTGATACACATAAAAAGACCAGGAATAATTTTTCACTTACAATGCCATTACTCAGTCCTCTACTGTAAGCTAAAGAACACTTCTTGATGAAATGGCCGACTCGTGGCAGTAAATATTTTACAATGGCTAACAATACTTTCACTTCTTTTTTAACCTGAAAAGGAAATGGGGAGTTTTACATCCTACTTATCTTCAGCTGATTGGATAAGGACATGCTAGAAGACATTGTTATTAATGTTGACTCAGGTGTAAAGGGATTGGATATTCATGGAAAGCATGGTTGACAGCATCCTCCTGCACCTAAGGTGTAATCCTGCTTGACTTAACTGCAAGGGGTCCAGCCAAGGACCAGCCTGTAGACAGCATCCTTGAAATCCTAAGTCAATATCCATCCAGATCTTTTTCATCTGTGTTGACCCAGGTGTAAAGATTGCTGATAAAAAAAGATCAATGTCAAGAGTCTCAGCCAAGGACCAGCTGGAAGAGAGCATTCTTGAGATGTTTCAAAGCTATACCTGTTGTATGGTGTCATCACCTCCACTAGAGAGTTCACTTCCTGGTGTCTCATCAACATCAGCATCCTCATCTATAACAATATAAGTTTCGAACACATCAGCGCTGGTTTCCATATCAGATTCTTCAACTTCTTTTCTATTACTCCACTTTCCTAAAAGTAACACTTAGTTAAAGGGGAAGTCAAATGATTACGCCATGCCATGAGCAATGAGGGAAATTTTGTTAAGACAGCTGCATTAGCCTATACTTTTCTCAATTTTAAACTGTTGAGGGATTTACAAGCACAGTCTGTAGACTACAGGGCCTCAGTTTTCAACGACAGCTCCGCCAACCTGAATCACTGACTAGTTTAAAAAACCTGAAGGTATTAAAATGCTTAGAGAAAACCCTACCTTGAGCCCAGTGAACCGGATACAACTGTGTCCATAAAGAACCATCCAGTGATAATGTATTCAATCGTTGGGACACCTGACTACATCGTGTCAAGTCTATAGGGGTACAGTATGATAATATATTCAACAGAATCTCATCTGGTAAAATATCTAAACTTGGTTTACTGTCTGCTGATTCTTCTTCTTCACTTGAAACTTCACCTGCAAAATAACAGGATTCAAAGGTAAAAACCAAGAGGAAAACAGGAACTAAGTTGCTAGGTTGCTAGTTCAGAACTCATGGCTATGGTGTACGAGCACCTTAAGATAAGTTGACAGACAGAAATTTATAAGATAAGTCGACTAATCTTAAAAATGAGTAGACAACATTCCACGAGATATGTTGACAATTACTTAAATGAGACCGGTTGACATAAACTTATATAAAAAAGTTGACATAAACTTACAAGATAAGTTGACAATAACTAACAAGATAAGTTGAAAAAAACTTACAAGATAAGTTGACAATAACTAACAAGATAAGTTGACAAAATCTTACAAGAAAACTTGACAAAAAACTTGAAAGATATATTGACAAAATCCCAAGAGATAAGTTGACAAAAACTTACGAGATCTGGTATCTTCAACAAATTTCTCTTCTTGATAATTATCTGAAGCTTTACGAAGATGTTGTTTAATAACCTCAGCTTTAATAGCCTTCAATTCATCATAGCTGAAATATTCTATCAGCATGGGTTGAAATATCTGAAATAAATTGAAAAGCTTAAAAAATATTAAATGACTTTAACAATTAAAGCTCAATTGAGTTCAGTACACTTTAAGCTGATTTTTGCTATATTAATACAAGGCTTTTTGATACAAAATTTTAAGAAAGTAAGAGAGACTGTGATGTAAATAATTTCTACAAATGGGGAGCTAGCAATAAGGGGCCAAATATCCTTGTGGCCCAATATTTGTGTCCTTAAAGACATTTTGAATAAGGAAAGATCTAGTATTTCTCAAAAACTTTGGGGAGTAAAAATCAATTTTCAAATTATCTATTTTACTGGCAATCCTTATAAAGAATTTGAATTATGTATATTGTATTTGCATAATTTAACGATGAATATATTGTTGAGACAATAAAAGTGTTGGCAGCATTCCAACTCATTTATATTATTATAATATCACAAAACCATAAGCTTATAACAGTAATAATGTGGTGTGTTCTGGAATGATTTCAATGTCTGATTAAGCTTATATTGATACAGGTTAAACTGTTTATGCCATGTTTATAAAATGTAACAATTTTCATGGATAATGAATGACCTAATGATTAAACTTATGGTCTGCCATTTTGAAGCACCAATTAGACATGACTGGCACATACATGTTACATCCAGAGCCCTACACAAGACACCATAAAAGTAAAAGCACTTACTGCTTCTTCCTCTTCCATATGTGGAATAAAGCTCCCAGTAAATTCTTCTAAAGCTCTGCGTAATTTAAACCCATAATGGAGACGCTCTGCTTGTGGGCGCCACATCCATTGGAATCCATCTTTGACTAGCTCCAACATCTCTGACAAACGGTTGTCCGAGTGACAGTTGCACACGGCACTATTCCTGATGGACAGGGAGCGCAGTTTCTGTCGTAGTCTACACAATATATACTTATTTTCAATTTGTTCGTGAATCTTAAATTCCTGGAAAGCATTACAAAGATTCTCCAGTAAAGTTGTAAGATGAATAACGTTAGAAAAGTTTGTAGCTGTCATCTGAAAGAAAAGAAACTAAAATTGAAATGGTTGTAAAATTATTTCCTAGATTTTTATGTGTATCAGGACATTTATGGCTTCTATTTGTATCATTTCAATTTTCTGTCAGATGACAAATAATTTTTGCATGGAAACTTGACGCAGAATGTTAAATCTGAAAAGTGAAAACAAAGTGGTTTTTGAAACAATTGTCAAATACAAAGCAATGATACAGCAATTTAAAAACTAGAGTGCTTTGTCATTATCAAATGAACTTTTATTCATGTTCATTGATTTGCAAATGAAATTGAAGCTTGTTTGTTAAGTTTCAGAAATCTAACTCTGTTACTTTAAGTCGAGCTTAAGGGTTATTATTTTATTGTACCGATACTATGCGTTTTAAGTAAGTTTATGTAAGGCATATATTTTCCCTTTAGGATGAGTTTGATAGACAAACAACTGAACTAGCATTCATAAAATAACATTTTATTTGTTTGTTATATAAACAGTGGTACAGTTTATAGTTTTATACGTTTTATCATCCATGATGATTGACTACCTGATGAAATACATGTCGCATAAACTTGGACCTGTGCCAAGATAACCGGATAAGAAATTATACAAGTCATTTAAGATAATGAATAATCACAGCCTAGAGATTCCTTCGGTCTGCTATTTTCACAGTATTTCAAAGTGAAATAAGCTTTGAATTGGCACTTGATTCCCTGCCTCTACTTGACATTTTTTCGTAACTCTGACACTGTTGACATGTGTAAAATCAGTAAATGCCAAAATTGAGCCAATTTCCACCTTGAAAAAGGCTAGGAACTCAGATCTGCTGATTGACAGTTGTGAAAAAGTTTTCCTGAAATGATTCTTAAATTGACAAACCTGGTCTAAGTAACCTTGAACCAATTCCTTCATTCTAGAATGAGGAACGGAGAAGACATCCACTTCTTCTGGCCAAGTAGGAGCCATTTTGGATTTTTAATCTCGCACAAGCTCGTGAGATCTCGCGAGAATTATTACATCACGTTGTCAATGGCGACGTTTATGTTCGACACGCTCTTTTACCCGCAATATTATTAACTCAAGTCAATATACGGTTGACTTTGGAGGTGTGTGCATTAATTGAAAAAGTTTTAACAGTGGAAAACATTCGCACAAAATGGCAGCTAGAAACGCAAGTATCACTGTTGAGAGTCAAAATTTCTTGACCGAGGCAATTAACAAGGAGCGAGATACCCGTTTAAATTGGCATCAAAAAAGAAGGGGGCAGGATGCGGTGAAACCCCGACAGATGGAAGTATTTCGCCGAAATATTGAAGAAAGATCGAAACCGTCCGAAGCTTTGATGGAAAGATTACCTGCAATTACCAAAGAACAACGATTCAATAAAAAGAAAACCACTGATTGGGATGCGTTGGTCACCAAGAGTGCGTCAGGCAATGTGAATACTGTTTTGAACATGCGTCCAGCAACTCCGGACACAAATTCTAAACTTTACGACGGGTTCACCAAGGAAGGAAAAGGCCGATATCAGTATTTACAGTCCAGATATTTCCAAATTCCTGAGGAAAAATTTCCATATCCATTGTTAAATTCCTGGGAATACGGATGGAGATTGAACGACGTGGTCAAAAAGGAGGAAATTAAAAAACCGACGTATGGGCGAACCCGAATCGTCGCGGATACGTTTTACACTCGCACTGGAGCTATCTAATTTGAGATCTAGCTCGGATCGGCCTTAAGACTGTGTTCCTAATTAGTAGATGTAAATATGTTTTATTTGAACATCTGTGATGGAGACATAATGCTCAATATTTTGGATTTTTGGATTCGAGGAACTTTTTTTTTCGGAATTTATTGTGCAACGATTTTAATGTGGAGCAGTTTTGAATATATTTTTTTCATATTTTCCTCGAAATGTACATAGATTTTTAATGAGCTTTCGTCAAAAAATATATTGCCGAAAAATAACGGTTATTTTCGTAAATTAGTGTATATAGAACTCGCTTAAATCATGTTTGCTGTTATTCCTTGTTATCCACAATATTTTGGGATACTTTAAAATTTGTTATTGTGCAAAGATTCATTCTAACATTTGTTATTTTTGTTCTGTTAATATTGATGGGATTATCTGTGTGAAATCACAACATTAAGCAGTATGTATAGAAAAGGCTCGGTGGGGGGTTTGCAATTCCACTGAAACGTTATTATAACGTCACTATCGCAAAAGCTCCATAATATCAAAACTATAATTATCATTGTCCTGTTATTTGACGTTACTTACTGCCTTCTTCAGAAACACCCAAAATAGATCTCCATCACATCTTAATCCGTTATTTTAACAATTATTTAAAGTTTATATCTTTTGCGCTTTTTCCGGTGGTGACGTCATAGGAACCACAGACATTTGACTGACAATTAGAATGATGCTGTCAGTGTCTCCGATGCACATATAAAGTTTAAAAACCCTCGTTGCAATCCCTTTAAAATTCTTGCTGATCTTTTGTTTATTGTTTAACATTAGGTTGGTAAGGACTGAAGGGTTTTGGTTTACATTTCGTGGGAGGTAATGTTACGGTGGGTGTAATGTATCGAGCGGACCCGAAGCTCAAATCTTCCTCATAATTACAATATTGTGATATAATCAAGATAACGAATTGCGGGATAGCGAAACTCAAAGAGGTTATCATAATGCTCTACTGGTTTCGTTATCCAACAATTTGTTATTGTTATCATAAGACGCTTCGATTGGTTAAAGAATAATGTTATTAGAACATGACTGTGGTAAAAGCCTTGTTAGATTACAATGGAGACGAAAATATCAGAAAAAAGCAACGAAATTGAAATCTGATTTTAATTTGATTGTTAACATTTTGACCCTTTGGCTGTAAGGGCATGCAACCTTTTGAACCAACCTTCGTTTTGTTGTACATTATTTGACTGATAGAGGCCCAGTTGGTGAATGGGATAATCTCGCTAATAAGGGCTTAAATCTCTCAAGTACAAGCTTAATCCTTCAGTTCAAAACGCTTTAAAGGGCGCATGTCTGAAAATTTCATACTTCCGGTAAGATGAGATGTGCTCGCCAAACCGTGCTATTAATAGATTCTTCAAAACTTGCATTATATATTGTGAATATTAAAGTACATTAAAGATTTTCTGTAAACAAGACATAAATTGTTAGCAAATGTTCGGCTTGTTTCCTCTCATAGCTATTGTCCAATAGCAGACGGGTAAGCAAGTACTGTCCGCCATTTTAAATATTTCTTGAGATAAGGTCTAGTTTTCGACACCTCACGTTCTTATCTAAGATAATTAAATCAACACTTAAAACGTGATTTATCTTCAAATAGTTTATAGGCTATTGAGACCGTGTATTTAGAACACAGTTATTTTACTTAAGTCCTGTTCAAAATTTCAGTGTTTGTTGTATAGTTAGGTAGTCACAACAGACACAAGATTGCTTGCCTGTGTGAAAGTTGCACTATCCAGTTTCATTATCTCGGTTTGAGTTATTTTGAAGTCGATGCCACACCTAACAGGCATTGTGCTGTCTTGTTCTTCACTAGTTCCTGTTGTTAATCTGCCGTTTTGTTTTTTACTAGTTCTTGTTGTCAATCTGCCGATTTTGTTGTTGCCACTTATTGTTGTTGACATCGTTGTTTGTTTGTTTGTTGTTTTTTACAACTCTGGAATCGACATAATCCGGCCTAATCAGATAATCCGTCCATTTTAACTGATTATTGATTTTTCTATCTGTATCGATTGTTTCTACATTTTAAGCCACTGATTATATTGTAATCCTTACTTGTATTAAGATTTAATGTATGAATTGGAATTTTATGGTTACATGTACTTTTACTTTGATTTGTTGAAATATAACTGGACACACAATGCAGTAGGCAACGAGGGAACTTTTGCTGCGACGTGAGTACCTTAGCGTTGAGTTAACAAAACCTGTCATAATGTTGAGTTGTCTTCTACAGCCCAGCTAAAAACCACAAAATTGTTTGTGTAATATGATTGCAGAAAGTTCTCCACTGGGTCCCAGTCGACCCAGCTGTAAATGGGCACGGATAATCTGGGAAAGACCAATGCCAAGAGGTTTGGCCAAGACCAGTTGGTAGAAAGGATCCTTAACTGTGAACCTTAGTTGTTATCCTTGTAAAATATAGTTGTTTCCTTCTTCAGAAATCTATCAGACACACTTGCCAAATTGCCAATTGGCAAATTATCACACTAATTAGCCCTAATGAATTATATTGTATTGGGATTTCATGTGATATTATCGTGATATCAGACAATAAAGTACTTTTATTCTTCACCATCTGCCCCTTTTAATTACTCTGATTTAATTATCGTTAAAGGGATTTAGTCGTCTAAATTATATTCTTAGCAACTGATATATAACTATGATATATCCCTCAATATTCGCTTAACCATTTGAATTTGAATTGAGTTACCCGTATGTAAATACGGAACTACACGTGTGTGCTTTATGCATTTTCAGAACTAAATTCCGACGGGCCCGTTCCCCACAATTGAATATAAACGAAGTGTTTTAACTATTCGAAATTTCAGTTAATATCTATCAGTTGATATACGAATATTTCTTTTTAATTGAAAATGGAGACGTTTATAGTTCGTTACTCTAAAAGGGGCTAAAACTAGCATTATTTTTTAAATACAACTTCCTTAAAAATGCTAAAGGATTGTAATATATTTGTTTTTGTACAAATGTCCATCATTTAATTCGCCAATGTATATAGGTATGTTTTTTTTTATTATTTTGAAATGCATGATTGCTATATTTTATGAAATAAATAACAATATTGAATATATACGTAATGTCTTGATTTCCATTCATAGCTATATAATGGTACATTGGGTTTTTGAACAATAGTTTTACAGTCTACGCCCTCTATTTTGCATTCTATCGTGCACGTACATGCTTTGATCTTTTCATTGACTTTTGTCTTTGTATACGAATTTTAGGAGTGGGAGTTTTACGTCCTACTTTTCCGTACTTTATCGGGCTAATGAATACAGAGTACGCAATGCTATGTACAATAAGGCTAATTTTGGCCATTAATCTACGTATCGCCGAATTCCAACCGTCGAGGTTGCACTGCCTGCGATACACGGGGCCTCAGTTTATTGCCACATCTGAACGATATCTGCCCCCGACATGCGTTATATTAAAAAAAACACAAAGTATGGACTATAGTAGAGGCATTTGCAAAAGTACAGATTCTAATAATACATTATGCATATATCATAACCATTGTAGTATATATCGGCAATTGATATACTTTAATATAATATGAATAAAGACCGGGCGTTATTGTTGATAATACACACTTAACGATCTATATACTTATATACTTATTATAATCTTTATATAGATCTCAGTGATAATACAGGTTTAATATTGTATAGTACTTGTATATCATTACATACCAAAACAAGTTTACAATAGAATTTCGCTAGTAGTGTAGAATATTTATGAAACCTTGGCGTTTCCGATAGTTTAAATAATATGAGATGATAGTCGCCATTGTAAATTTATCCGATGACCTTAAAGGTATATTACCCTCTAATTGAAATGGAATGGAGGAATGGAAACTGAAGCTTTGGTTATTTTCCTCTGTTAAAGCAGGTTGCATTTTATATAAATGTTTGCAAACCTCGGTTTATCATTCTGAAAAGTGGTACGGATAGTTGCAATTAAGCTCAAAGAATTGGTAAAACCTAACAGTAGTCGATTATATTCCTTTAAATGATTTCCAGCAAAAGTGCCAAAAGAAAGCTGATATTGAGTTCTGCCTTTTAAGCTTGTGAAACACACATTTAGACGACTTAACGCCTTTAAATCATTACGGTTCAAAGATGTCAATGGATTGGCAATGAATTAAAATAGACTTGACGTGTTATTGGGTTGCTTTACGGATCAATTTCTCTTGTAATTAACACAATCTATCCATAACACTCACAATTTTATCTATTACAGAATCTGTTACTCTACACAGTAATCCGACATCTTCCATATCATTCAATCTTTGTTTCTTATTGGGTCAATGAAGGTGGATATCGTTCTACAGTGTGCAATGAGGGAACTTTGTAGGGACAATCATTGGACAGGGATTATTAATGAAACAGAGGTTAGTAATGGAACAGCAACAGGTAATAGTAATGGAACAGAGAATAGCACTTTAACACTAACAGAGAATAGCAATGTAAAGATTAAAAATGTCGCAGAGCATAGTAATGTTACAGATCATAATATAAAGGAGACAGAAGAGTAAAAGAACAGAGAATAACCATAAAGGAGAATGGTAATGTTACAGTGAATACTATGTAACAGAGAATGGTAATGTTACAGTGAATACTATGTAACAGAGAATGGCAATGTTACAGTGAATACTATGTAACAGAGAATGGTAATGTTACAGTGAATACTATGTAACAGAGAATGGTAATGTTACAGTGAATACTATGTAACAGAGAATGGTAATGTTACAGTGAATACTATGTAATAGAGAATGGTAATGTTACAGTGAATACTATGTAACAGAGAATGGTAATGTTACAGTGAATACTATGTAACAGAGAATGGTAATGTTACAGTGAATACTATGTAACAGAGAATGGTAATGTTACAGTGAATACTATTTAACAGATAATAGTAAGGTATCAGGGAATAGTAATATAACAGCAAATAGTAATGGATCAGAGAAAAGTAATAAATCGGGGAATAGTAATGGAACAGAGAAAAATTTATACATCGGGGAATGGTAATGGAACAGAGAAAAATTTATAAATCGGGGAATGGTAATGGAACAGAGAACAATTTATAAATCGGGGAATAGTAATGGAACAGAGAAAAATTTATAAATCGGGGAATGGTAATGGAACAGAGAATGGTAATGGAGCAAAGAATAATAAGGTAACACGAATAGTAATGAAACAGAGAATCTTGCTAAAGGGAACACTGAGTAATTGAGGAAATAGAAGATATCCACGTAACGGATTAAGCCTGCAGGTAATTGCGTGATAACTGAATGATAGTGCCTTTATACCTTGTTTTATTATTGATCATTTTAACGGAGATCTAACTGTAATCGATATAAACTGATTGGGTTTATTGATTTCTGTATCGATTAACACCTTATTTATTACCGTACTGTCAATATCGAATTCCTGCAGCC